TACTTTCTTTGGATATTTCATATCAGTCATTTTAATTTTATCATTATATATGCATATATAACTTACATTTACTGACACATACTCTATCCCTGATATTGAGCACTTTTACTCATAAATATAGCATAGCTCAACAAAAGTCAAAACTATATTGCCGCTTTAGCTTTTGTCCTACCGATTGTGTATCGTACCACATTTGTATACTGCATTAACATAATTTGAGTAACAGTAGGAGGCAAGCAATAACCAAAGACCCCCAAAGAATTGGTTCCGCCATAAAAATCCTTCCCGAGACGACTTCGCATATATCATAGAAGTTGAGCTGGCGTTCGATCACCTCTAATGACATTATTAAATTAGTTCGCGTAATAAATCCTCAGCAGAACGGCCTGTGCGTTTGGAAAAAAAATATATCACAGGCCATTGTTTCTGCTACATTCTACACAAGCATAAAAAAAAAGACAGTACCGCTTTAGGTGTGTCCTACCGATCTCCGCCAATGCATCTCTAACGTAAAGGGAAAAGCAAAAACGGAAGGAGGAATGCCAATAATAATTATTATAAAATTTAAAATAAAAAAAAATATATATAAAATAAGAAATTTGAGTAAAAAATAAAATATTTCAATCCTTTGAGTAACTGTAAATGTCTTAACATATCGAGAAAAAAGTCGGGACAATGCCTTAATACTAGTAATACAAATGTGGTGATAGGGTACATGATAACACACTAAAGCAGAAACTGATCGATAGGACACACACTAAAAAGCGGCACCCTATATTTTTTAAAAGTAAAATCTCTAAGCTGCTGTCTTAAGAATTCAAAAAAAAAAAATCATATTTTTAATAATTTTTCTTTGTATTTTAAGCAAGAAAGACGTTTCTGTTTCCGTGCTGTAACCTTTCATCAACCTACCTTAACCCTGAATCTCACTATTTTTGCTCCAACATTTCTCTTGGTTGTTAATTTCCATAGTCAATTGATTTATCATCAACAAAAACCCACCAACATTGATCTTGGGAAAATAAATCAAATGTTACATAACAATATCATAGTCCTAGTGTTTATGGTTCGTTATTTTGTATTTACTCAGGAAAAAAAAAGTAGATTTACATTTTGTTTGACAAGAACATTCTTTGCTTTATTTTTTCTTTCAAAGTAGTGTCTTAAATGTGAACAGACTAACAAACTGCACAGCCGCATGAGGATAAAAAGGCATGAGAAAGAAGTAACTTCCCACCCTAATTACATTTTTTTTTTATTGCTTTTCATTTCTAAAACCACCCCGGGCTGCTTGCATGAACGAACTTTAATTGATTTAATGAGAAAAATCTGCCTTTTTGAGCGAACATAAAGAAGAAGAAGTAGACTTTCGTCCCGTGCTTCGCAGACGAAGCAACATCTGAATTGACATAGAAATACCTTTAAAAAAAAAAAAAAAAAAAAAAAAAAAAAAATAATAATAATAATAAGACGAAGAAGAAGAAGGAGGAGGAGAAGAAGAATGATAGTGAACCAGTGCGCCCACAGAATGGTTTGGTACAAAGGCTGATATGTAATTCACGACAGAAATGAATATTATTGTCTATAAGTAAAATAATTTTTAGTGGTAGGAAAAAAATTCTTCCACTTTCAGTTGACTTGTCTCTACGGATGAGAACGTAAGTGAATGTAATGGACGTTAATCCGTAGACAAGTCAACTGAAAGAAAGGTATGAAGGAATCCTCTTCTTCTCCCTATGGGTAAAAATAGCAGGATAGATCGGGTTCTCTAGTCATGGATGGCAACTGGTCTACCGCAGAAAGAAATGGCAACCTACTTGGAAAAAAAAAAAAAAAAAAATCTGCCTCGTCAGTCATGTATCGAAAGATACATGATCGCCTAAGCGTGTATCACGCATGGCACATAACTGAGTGTCTACGAATTGATTTTCCGTGTGTTGTCCCTGAAAGAAACTATAGAGATTTTTTAAAATCTCAGATGGGTTCGTTAACTTTCCTGTCGCTGATAAATATGTTGTAAAACAAAAAAAAGGAACTTTGATATTGAGGGATTTTTTTTCAATGATTATTAGACGTTTATAAACAAACCGGATATTTTTTTGTCATATTCCTCTCCCCATACACACAAGGTAAATCAAATTTATACAAAATATAATGAAACAAATGAAACATTAAAAAAAAAGATATGTACATTGAACTAGTTCGAAATCACCAGAGTCGAGGTAATTTTTCAAGAATTACCTGCTTCTTTCTATTTTCCTGCTTTTATAATTTTTTTAGCCATTAGACTTAGAGAGAAAAATATTTCAGAAGAAAATCATGGGCAAATAAGCGAAGAAATGATATATCAAGTGGTTGCTACTCTTCGCGTGTGTTTACATTATAGTCAAGTGCAGGAAGGAAGAAACAAGGATTGAGTGGGGGTGAAGGACAAAGTTATGAAGATAATTTATTTCTTCTTAACTTTCTTGTTCGTTTCGATTAATTTCAATCGTCTTTAGTTAATTTCAAAGAAAATAAACTAACATTAATAATACATAAGCAATCAATTTTATATTTTTGGTTGATCGGGCAAAATTGGAATTGCAATATTCAATTTTTTTTTTTTCAATATATCAATCAATACTGTTCAGTGTTCATGATGACAATTAAATTCTCAACAACCGAATTGAAATTCACTTTCAGCTACGATAACTCACGAGAAAAAAAAAAAACTATAAAAAATTCCATTTTTTTACTCAAACGATAACCATAAATTAATAAAATTATTAGTTTTAATTTCTAGGCATATTGCAACACCAGTGGAAAAATGTGTAAGGATTACTTTTGTTAAAAACATTTAAAAATTCCAATTTTAATATTTTACAAAAAACAAAATAAACATGTTTGTTAGTCTTGGTACTCTTCTTGGTGAGTTAAAAAGTAGTAAAAAATAAACTAAAAACTATCATGTTGCCTGCCTTGGAAACTATCCCAACTTTTACCTAGGTTCGAACGACAACCATGAGTGGTAGTGAAGAACGCACAATTTTCATCCACCAAGCAGACTCATAAAAAAACTGGACTAACACGCACAATGTAGCAACTCTCTAACTTGAGTGGCTCTTGGGCCTTGTACTGGGTAAACGATGTATAAAATTTTCGAGAACAATTTTTATTTTTAAGGAAAACCTTTTTCCACTTTCTTATATTTTTCCCTAAAACTCTTTCTTCTTTCATGTTAAAAGTTATTTTAGATTTAAAAATCCTTTTATTTTTGGTTTTTATTTTATGGATGATTTATGATTTAAGTGATTTCAAAAAATTTATAAATGCTGATTTGTTATGCCGTCTGTTGCAACGAAAAAGAAATCTTTAAGAAGTATTTTGTTTTTATATTTGAAGAGGACGTACTTTTTAATAAAAAAAATAATTCAAGTTTTAGGAAGAATATTTTAACAAATCATACTTTTTAACTTGTCACTTGCTGTACTGAATTTAATAAACTAAAGTTTTTTTTTTAGCAAACTAGGACTTTACTGGAAAAATATTTTATCTTCAGTTGAATTTTTGCATCTGACAAATGGCAATAAAATAAGAAGAAGAGAATTAAAACGTCGATGACGTTGAAAATAAGGGTGAAAGTGAAACTCGGTAAATAAGTTGAATCAAGAAACATTCAACAACAAGTTGTCTTTTTTTTTCTTTACAGTTATTCTGTTGTCTTTTTTTTTTTTTTTTTAACAAAATCTGGCTAATTTCCTATAATTTTCCTACACAAAAATCATTGGAAGTATAAAGCCAAATATTTGAACCCACCCACAGTGGATTTCGTTTTACTTTTTTATTTTACAACTTAAAACTTCATCGTGTTATGTTTGTCACAGCCTTTAGTTGTCAAAATAAATAAAATAAACAGAAAGTAAAAAAAAAAAATACAAAAGGAACATTGTTTTTTGTTTTGTTTTGTATTTTGTGTCAATATGGAAAAGTATTTCAACTTCACAAGATAGTTGAGTTAAAGTTGATGAGGAAAGCCACTCCAACAAAATAAAACAAATATCAACTTGTCAGAAATACGGAAGTACTGGAAAAAGAGTTTTATAATCAAGATTTATCTAAAAAGTTTTAAGGATCGATTTGGTCTTGAAATAGGATTGATTAAATCAGTTTACGTTGTTGATTTAGCAAGAAATTTAGAAAAATAAAACTAGATTTACAAATTCCAAAATGTTTTAATTTAATTTTCCTAAAAAACCTACCATTTCAAAGTCTTCTTACATACAAATTTAATGCGATGGTAATCAAAGATTTTCCTGTCGAGTGAAGGAGAACTTTTTTTAGTTCGTTTCTCAAATTGTTTGCCAAAAAAGGGGGGGTGTTTACTGTCCTGAATAAATACGTCGTTAGAATTTGCGGAATCTAAGTAAACTACTTGTGGACTTCTGGTTGTCAGACAGAGAAGAATTTGCCGGGGCAATTCAGACTTTTTAAAGGGGGGGGGGAAGCTAATTCTCTCTCCTTTTCAGAAAAAGGAACGAAGTGAGAAAAGAAATAGGATATCATAAAATAAATTAATGTTAAAAAAAATAGACAATTGTTTTTTAGCTAAAATAATATCATTATCAACTGTTTTTTTCTTTATCTGCTGTTAAGGAATTAATTTTAAATTAAAATTTATTTTAATTCATTCATTGATAATCTGAATTAGCTAAATTTATCATTAATTTATTTGAAAAGTTGTGTTTACGGTGTTACCTGTAAGCTAAAGAAAAGTTATCCATGTTTAACTTTGAAATTTCATGGATTTGTGACGAAGTGATAACCGGTTCATAAATGAATCGAACTTCAATATAATTTTTAAAAATTGATAAGTTCTTCTTAACTAATTCTTCAGTGCTCTGAATGGGAATAATAGCAATTATTGATTATTCCGAAAAGAAAAAAGGAAACAATATTTTGAAGTAAGAAAAGAAACAGGTGGAATTCAACAAGCATAAAAAACAATATGTTGTTCTTACCTGAACGAAGGAATTCTGACCTAATTAAAAGTTCACAGCTGCTTTTATAGTAGATTTGAGAAAACTGACGACAGATTGATCTGAACAAGTCTTTTTGACAAATGGTTGACGACTTTCACTCACTAAGTTTTCCTGACAGAGTAAATAAATTCAAAACTTGAACAATTCTTGTTATGTACAAGATGAATGCTGTGTAGTGTACATAATGTTTTGACCGACTTCTCAATAGCAGTAGAAGTGAATGTGCTTTCAAAACTAAAAAGACTCTGTGTCTTTCCGTCCCAAATGGAGTTGTAACGCGACCTGCTGCTGATCTTTTCTGTCTGACTTTTACAAACCTCTAATGAACACGATCCCTGTATCCCTGTGCCCTGCCATCCCGACGAGAAATCAAGACCGACATAGGGAGCAGTCGAAAGAAAACTGCCTTTTTATTAACAGTAATAATAATAAAAAGAAAACTTTGTATCTTTTCTGACGTTTTTAATTTCTACTGTAGTAAAAATGTATTTAAAAAAGTAACTGATTTACAAACGAAAAAAAAGGTTAGCTATCGCCCAAATAAAAATTAATTACTTCTTTAATATTATATATATATATATATATATATATATATATATATATATATATATATATATATAGTAGACTCTCTCCGTCGTGTATTTTTTTGTTTAAAAATATGATTCCTTCGCTACATAAGAGTTCTCATGTTTCAAAAACGAGAGCTGAAACCATCCAAATAATTATTAAAATTAAGTTGAATTGAGGTGTTCAGTCCCGTTTCATCTTCAAGCGAAATTTTAGGAATAAGCTATCTCTTGGTTTACGTGTGTTTTTAGGCATGGTCCGTTAGAACATTTGTTATTGTGGGAGTGGCTAGGCTAGTTTTCTTCGTTAAGTGGTCAGAAAGTTAATTCTTATCTATAGATTCATCATCTTCTGAGAGGTTTTGCTATGGTTGGGTAGGGTATCTATTTCAAGGCTAATGTTGGCAGTCAACCTCAGTTAGTTCCCAGTGAGGGATATTTTTATGGCGTGCCTACAAGTCGTTATGTGTCGGGAGGATTGTGTTTTATTATTGTCTATCTGATTATCTATTTATTTATTTGTTTATTCAAATGGGTGTTTTATATACAAACCGTATTACACTGAATTTTTTTTTTTGTTTTTGACGACTACAGAAAAGGGTTTTTCCTATTTAAAGATTTGGCTAAGCTTTTAAGACTTTTATTAAACTATGGATTTTTTTTTTTTATGCTAATTATTTGATGCAAAAATTTGTTGATGTCGGCAAAAAACCGTTAACTCCTGCCTATGGTTTAATAATTTTTCATTCTTTAGAAACTTAATGATGTGTAGTTTTTCGTGTAGGAATAAAGGGCATGGGTCATCCCAGGTTTTACAAGTTCTTGTTCTATTTACTATTTTCCATTTTACTTTTGGTGTTTTATTCGTTTCTTTTAGATGCCAGAAATATTGGAATAGAGATGTCTGATTTCTATTTTGAATATTGTTGAAGGAGCTCTTGTGTTGCCTCCATCTAATTTTAAAATTATTCTTCGTTGAGCCTATGTATATCCTATCAGTGTTAGGACTCTCAATGGATGAGATAGTGCATTGGTATACCACAGATTTTGTGAGGCATTTATTTTCCAACGGGCAGTCTTTAGGGTTTCTACAATCACATAATTTTTCGTTATTTTTATCTAATTTAATTTATGAGTTTTATTACTGTTTTGGCATGTATGTTTTTCTAGGATTTTCTTATTATGTCTTTTTATGATTCTTTCTAGATTTTCAGTGCATCTGTAACTCAATTTTAAGGTGTTTTTGTTAAAGATCTTGAAAAGTTTGCTATTAGTGGGAAAGCCCTGAAAAATAACGGATACAAAAATGCTGACATAACCTATAGAAACGATAGTACCAATAATAAGAAAAACAGGAAAAGAAAGATTATGGTATATATAATTTTACAACCAAATGGTCAGTACCAAACTAGGCCATAAGTTCCTAGCTTTAAATGAAAAGCACTTTCCCACTCTACTTCTGTATGGAGCACTGTCTTCTTAAAATAAAACAAAATACTAAGGAACTCGGATTATGCACCCAACATGTTCTTTTTTTTATTTAGAGGCCTATTCATAAATCACTTATACATATATATATATATATATATATATATATATATATATATTAGACTCTCTCCGTCATATATATATATATATATATATATATATATATATATATATATATATATATATATATGATAGAGAGAAAAACATTCTTTTTGTCTTTTCATGTGAATCTCATATTGGTTGCTATATTCATAATATTTCAGGTATTGTAAGGTGTGGATTTTCTTCATTTTCAGGTGTCTGTTATACTTTCTAATATGCTATGAATTTTAAACTGAACCCTTTATTCAATCCAGGTGATTAAATTGTTCACATCTTGATTCTGCTTTTCATGCTTAGCTTAAGGGATCAGTATTTTCAGTTATTTCTCTCTTGTGCCTATCTATTTCTTCCACTGAACATGAATTCTCCCCTTTACCTAACCTAGTAATTGAACTGTCAGAAAAGCAGATATGTTTATATTAACATTTCAATTAGGTCATGTGTTTTTTGGATAATTTAATGGTGTAATTTTGAAACCTAAAGTATGTACACAGGTGATGTAATTTTTTAGTGTTCATCAGTATCTATGACAAACATCTAGATTGTGTTCATCACTATGCTAGGTCTACTGAGGAGGTTGTCAGAGCCTAATATTTGCACTGATTCATTCAGTAATTTTACTTTCCAATGTTGTTCACTGTTTATTATCATGACTTCATCTCACCCCATGTACATGGTCAGCCTTGCTTGATTTCAATCTCTACACTTATGAACTTAACATTAATAATGTAATCAACTTATTTGATGTATTCAGAGATATTAAGTTATTATTTTACTACTTCTCTAAGTAAAAAAGAAATTAATAAAAATCTACAAGTAAAAATTCTTGTCTCCTCAATTACAAAAATGAATGTCCTCATTGATATAATATATATATATATATATATATATATATATATATATATATATATACAAGGAACTGTTAAAACATTATTAATCTGATAAAGTAGACCTTCCAAAAGAAATCTGAGGTTTAATGATTTGCACAAATGTTGGGAAGTCTTTTTATTTATATTAATTCATAGCACCATTATTCAGCTTTTAAAGTTTTTTTTTCTAATTTTCTAATCCTTTTCTTCTAAGTTGTATATTATGTCATAAAATAACAATAACAATTATAGTTTGATGAATATTTCAACAAACTGACCAGACAAGTGACAGACTGAAAGGGAAAGACATAAAAAATATGCTGTATGAAGTAATTCCCACTCCAAATTCACAATTGTTTATTGCATCATAGGTTTTGGCATGCAGCAAAATCACCAGTCAACTTGTCGACAAAGAACACTTTTATTTTATTAGTGCATCATTTCAATAAGCCAATTGCTCACTAGTGTGTCTCCCAGTTTTATTTGTTTGTAATGAAAAATTCCCTGTGTAAGACAACCAAACATGAAGAAAGCCCTTTTCCTCACAAGATACTATTTCAGTTGAGATGATGAAGGCTGCTTTGGCATAAATGTTTTTCTTCAGTTTAGCTTCTAATGATAACTCCATTTATCATTGCCAGTTTGAAAAATACCTTTTCAATGTAAAACAAAAAGAAAAATCCATGTATTTAAACAATGGCTCATGTTTACATTTGTAAGTTTATATGCAACTGTTTTATGTAGTTTCTGAGTTTTTCTAAAGCTTCTGAACAAATTACTACTGTTAACTGAATAAACTTCAATAACACTTCTAAGATTTCTGTAACATTCTACAAATGATGGTTGAGATCATTTGCATTAATCAAATAAATAATAAATGAGCATACTGTATACAAGCATGTACACTTTTGCACAATGGGATTTCCAAATATATATATATATATATATATATATATATATATATATATATAAATATATATATATATACATATTTTATGGAAGCCTCTTAATTAATCTCCAAATGTAACCTTTTCTTAAAAATGTGGCAAAATACCTGAAATACTTTAAACTTTCATTATTATTATTATTCTATCACTTTTCATTATTATTATTATTCTATCACTTTTCACCAACTTGTTTAAGATTCTGGCAGCTTAACCCTAACTGCTCTCCACCCTAATTTTTACACAACTAGCTCATCAGTTCTTCATATAAAATGTTTTATTCTGCTTACCTTTCTGTTCATCTTCCTTTTTAAATTTGAGACAAACTATAATTATGACTTCTTTATAAATCTCCTTAATAATGTCTTAATTCCAAACACAGATCTATTATTTTGAGTAACTAAATAAAAATAAATAGCTTATTGGATTATAAGTTATCCAATCTTCATTTCCATTTAAAATTCATTTTCCTGTGAAACAGGCAATTCCTGTTTTTTTTTCTGGTGAACAAGATCATCACTGTGTTTTCTCAATAAATAATTTACAGGAGAAAACGTATTTACACTAAGCTTTTTTGTTTCATCAGGATTCAACAAAATGTTCAGCAATTAGTACTTTTACTATTTTATCATTAATTCTATTTCATCTTATTGTTGTTGTTACTTTTTATCACAATATTTTAATTAACTCAACTTTAATTAAATCAACTGCCTGCAATGAACATTACGCAAAAAGTTAGGAGACAATGAATCTGTAGCATTATTAGTCAGTTTGAGTACTGAATAGTTATTATTCCTATTCAATTTAGTTAAGTTTATCCCAGCATGCAACTGACTGTAAATATCTTTCCTATCTTAAACTGGTAACTTGTAGCTGGAAAAAGTTCATGATGTTGTGGAAGAAGAGTAACAGCTGTTGCCATCTTGAAGTTAAAACCTTTTCCTTTCCTGAAGATAATTGCAAATAGATTACATTACTAAACCCTTTACTTTTTAATCTTTACATTTCCATTCTAAAAATGAACAATTATTCTTTGTCTTCAACTTCACAAAATCCTTTTTGTCTTGACTGTTTTGTTTTTGTTGATGTTCCTGTTAATTGTTTCTACTTACCAGTTTTCTGCATGTAAATAACAAAACAATTGTTTGTGGCTACATGGACTTGAACAATATAAAAGTATCTCCTCTCAACATACTAACCTTTCTTTTCATGCTAAGCATACACATACTGACCCATGCATTTCTTTGGATTTCATTAAAATGGTCCAAAAAGTTGTTTTATTTTACATATTTTGTTATAACTTGAGAAAATTCATGTTATTATATTTAAATAACTCTAATTTATTAAACAAGAGAAATTAATTAATGGTCACATGTAGGCATAAAAATATCTGTTGAAATATGTTGAACCAGACTGATTTCAATTCAATTCCGTATATTACTTTTTTCTTTTATTTTAATTCATTTAATTACTTTATCTTGATGAGATGAAATTATTTTTTTTATCTTGATAAGATGAAATTATTTTTTATTAATGTATGATTGCATAATCTTGAGCTCAAATTGGTAATTTTCTATTTATTTGTATCTATGTCTAAATAATCTTGTCATATCAAAAATATATTAAATGTATATTAGTCACACAATATGTATTTCATGTATTGTGGCATTTCTTTTATATAAATAGGATGTGTATGACTTTATAATTGTCTTAAGTGAGTATATATGTAAAAATGTGATATTATATTTCTTGAATGTATCTACAGTTTACATATATTCATTAGATATATGGGAGATTATATAATCACAGATATAGTTATTATCCTAGTTATATATATATATATATATATATATATATATATATATATATAGAGAGAGAGAGAGAGAGAGAGAGAGATACATAAATAGATAAACTAGATAGATAGATAAGATAGATAAATATATATCTTACACCACTGATATGAATATATGAATATTTTTATTTATATTTGTATGTATGTGTATGGATGAGTGTGTGTGTATCTATATATATATGTGGTGCAGTTCAATTTATATTACAATGAATCATTCATACAAAAACTTTACTAATTTATTAATGCATCTTTAAAATTTTGTTAGTGAAGTAATTTTGTCATTTTATATTAACTTTACTAATTTACTTTTTGTTTGAATGATTGGTTCATTGTACACACACACACACACACACACACACACACACATATATATATATATATATATATATATATAATTTTTTGTATTGAGCATGGTAATATGTAAATAAATATAAATATAATCTTGTATTTTTTGTAAATGTGGTAATAATCATATGTAACCATACATATACATATATATGTAGATATGCCTTGATATTTGCATGTACATATGTATTACTTATATAAATTATTTAATTGTTATAATTGTATTAGAATTATAAATATATTTTTGTAGTTGGAGGTATATAAGTTGTATGGATGAGTTTTTGTACATTTTTATTCATTTATTTATATAACACCTTTTGCTACTGCCTACAGCCGGTAGGGTAACCACATTTTAGTAGTCTGGTCCTCAGTGTCTTAGAACAACATTTTAACCATGGGGGTAACTCTGTATTGGTCAATGCTGATGCTGGTCCAAGCTGGTTGTTGGTCGCTGGCCACTTTGATCCACACCAACTTTGCTCATGCTGTGTTCTTGATATTAGAGCAGTGGAAAATCAAAGATTGTATTCTCACAGTGCTGGTCCAAGCCATGATGAGTATTATATTAAGGAAAAAAATATCTTCACAATGAAAAATAAGCAAGAGATTCATGGGATTAATGGTTTATATAGCTCTTGGTAGAACAAAAATTAACCCTTCCTGCATCAATCTCTATAGTGACTATAGAGATTGATGCAGGAATTTTTGTTGTACCAAGAGCTATATAATACTGAGCCTTGTACCAAGAGCTATATAATACTGGGCGGAAAAGAAAAAACTTCAACAAAGCAGCTGGGTTCAAAATCTTGGAATCAAGAAATCTGACGTTGGCAGCTGACATGGATTTCAGAGACACTCAATTTGATATCTCAGCCCATAGTCTCCTGAACTCCTTAACGACATCTGCTTATAGTAAAAATACATAGAATTGAGTTATCATGGAAGATTTTAAAAATATTTTGCAGAACTGATAAAAAACACCAAAATGAGCAACAATTCAAATGCAAAAATACCAAAATGATCAACAGTTACAGCTACAAGAAAAATGGCAAAAGCAATTATTACAAACGCAAAAGGAAAATCAAGAAAAGAAAACAAAGCTCCAGGAACTAATATTGAAATTAGCGGGCAACAAGCAATTAGATATTGAAAAAGAAGCAACATTTTCGCAAGACGCAGTGTGGAATACCATAGAGATTTTCAAATATTCTCTAGATGAGGACAAAAATTTTGGAGATTACTTCAGAAGACATGAAGACATCTTTAACATAGACTGTCAAAATTGGACAGAAGCAAAAAAGCTACGTCTATTGCTTAGAAAATTAGGAAATGAAGAATATACAAAGTTCGTGGATTATATCTTGCCAAGAAAGACGAACGAATTAACATTTGACGAAGCAGTGACATGTCTTAAAGAACTCTTCAGACCCAAAACATCACTTTTCCATAGGAGGTGGAAATGCCATAACCTGGTAAAAGGCGATAATGAGGATTATTCCACGTTTGCCGCAATCGTAAATAAACATTGTGACGACTTCAAACTAGCGGAATTAACCCCGGACAATTTCAAATGTCTCATCTTTGTTCAAGGGTTAGTTTCTACAAAAGACAGCGAAATGCGCAGAAGAATGCCTGCAAAATTACAAAATGAACCGGGTCTAACATTACAGTAATTATCGGAAGATTGCCAGAGATGTTTAAGTATAAAGAAAGACGCAAAGGACATTGAAGAATCAGCTGTTTCTCATATACGTAAGTTAAACAAAAGTCTACGTTCTTCACCCTCCCGGAAAGAAAACTAAAATTTTACGACAATGAAAAAGATTCTCACCCTCCCGGAAAGAAAAAGAAAATTTTATAATAAGAGGAAAAGTACAACATACAGGACAAATTATGACGAATATCGAAACAAATATAAGCCCCCTCCATCAGCATGTTATCGATGTGGAGGATTACATTGGAACAAGGATTGCCGCTTCAGATATGAAAGCTGTCTGGAATGTGGAAAAAAGGGCCACAAGGCATCCTAATGTAGAAATAGAAAAGATACTAATAGGATAAGAGTCACAAGGATGCATAACGATGACAACACCAATGTAAGGAAATATGTGGAACTGGAAATTTTAAATAAAAAGATTAAATTACAACTGGATTCGGGTTCCGGACTCACGATAATCAACTTACAGACATGGAAAAAACTCAACAGACCTACCATGTTACACACACAAAAAATTGCCAAGTCGGTTACAGGCAAACGAATAAAATTTGAGGGAGAAATAATCGTGAATGTTAAATTTCACGGCAAAACAAAAAAACTTAAGATATACGTTATGAAAGATACTGAAAATCTAGTAGGTATCGACTGGATGCAGAAGTTCAACGTTTGGGACCTACCTATCAACTCCTTTTGCAAAAAGTTAGAGGTTGAACCATCAGATACTATAAAATTGAATTATATAATCAATTTCCTGAGGTATTTTCAAGCGGGTTGGGACGATGCAACAAATTTAAGGCCAAAATAGAAGTAAAAGAAAACGTCCAACCAATTTTTAAAAAGAAGCGAAATGTACCGTTCGCTACTATAGAAAAAATAGACAAAGAATTGGAGAGACTTGAACAAACTGGGATTCTATCAAAAACAGAGTTTAGTGAGTGGGCAGCGCCGGTGGTTTATGTAAAAAAGAAGTCAGGAGAAATCCGCGTATGCGCAGATTTTTCGACGGGACTCAACAAGGCAATAAAAGACCACCATTACCCACTATCGAGCCCAGAGGAGATATTTACAAAGCTCAACGGCGGTAAGATATTTTCAAAAATAGATCTTAGTGAGGCTTATCTACAAATCCCAGTACAAGAAGAGAGTGCGAAAATCCTTTGCATTAATACGCACAAAGGGTTGTACAAATTCAACAGACTACCATTCGGAGTAAAAGTTGCACCTGCAATTTTTCAGAAAACGATGGACACAATGCTTACGGGCCAGAATTTCGCGACCGCTTATCTGGATGATATTCTAATTAAGAGCGACAATGTTGAAAGCACACATCACACATAAAAGAAGTTTTAGAAGACTTCAGGACTTCGGCTTCAAAGAATCTCTCTGTTGTAAATACCTCTTCAAATATACCAGTATTTTTCCCTACGTATGTGTTTGTCTTTATTTCAATACACGCGGGAACACACTCAACATCTCAACAGTGGCGACGAGGATTCGAATGGATAAAAAGAACTTACGTTGAAAAATAAATATCGCAACAGCGAAAGAAACGATTTCAACACGGGAAAATTTCAGAATGGAAAGAGTTCAAGCATTTTTCAGAGCAAAGGATTGAAAAGTTTATCGACAAAAAAAAAAAAATTGTTTGACTAAGTTAGACATTAACTTATTTAAATTCTATTGGAATCTATAATAACCAATGTGTTTTTTGTGCAAAAAAAAATTTTTTTTTGTGCCAGAGAATTTGATTAATAAATTCGCAACCCCCCCCAAGCATTTTTTCACACAAAGGATTGAAAAAAAAAAATAACACATTTTTTATGCTAAAAATAAATTTTTTTCTTTTTTTTCTACACATACACAATCATGGAGCAATTTCAATCATCTATGCTGGAACTCATTAAGTATCAGATGCAAAGACAAAAGTGAAGAACGTGAAGAACTTAAATTTCAGAAAGAACAAAAGAAGAACGACTTAAACTTCAAAAAGAACAAAAAGAGAGTGAAGAAGTTTTTCGGAAAGAACAACTGAAATTTCAGAAAGAACAAAAGGAAGAAAAGGAAAGGTTAATTGAAGAAAATGCAAAACGATTTCTGGAGCTATACGAAAAACAAAATAAAATACAAATGAAAAGAAACAGTTAGCAATGACTGAACTTATACATAAAGCTATACTGTCTAAGCAGAAAGACTCGGATGAAAGTACTTTTTCTCAAGACACAATATGGTCGACGATCGAAAGTTTTACCTATAACCCAGAAGAGGAAAAAACTTTCGAAAGATATTATCATAGATATCAGGACTTTTATGAAGTCGATTGCCAAACATGGCCAGATGAGAAAAAGATAAGATTGTTACTACGGAAACTGGGAACGGCAGAACATAATAAATTTACGGACTTTATATTACCCAAAAAGACAAGAGACTTAAAATTCGACGAAGCGATTGAATTACTAAAAGAGCTCTTCAACCCCAGATTATCATTATTTCACAAAAGGTGGAAATGTCTTAATATTCAAAAAAGCGAGCAGGAAGACTACACGACTTTTGCGTCAATCGTAAATAAGACGTGTGACGATTTTCGCTTGTCCGAATTATCGGCGGACAATTTCAAGTGTCTAATATTCGTGCTAGGCTTAGTGTCTAAAAAAGATAGCGAAATGCGAAGACGCATTTTAGCAAAGCTAGAAAATGAGCAAAACACGACACTACAAAAGCTAGCCGAGTACTGTCAGCAATGCGTAAGCATTAAGCAAGATTCAGAGAAAATAGAAGAAACTGCTATCGCAAATGTGAAGAAAGTAAATAGGAAGACTCGTTTCCGTTCTCCATCGCCTGAACGGAAGTGGTATCCTACCACAAGAATGAACAGAGACTATAAAAAAAAAACTCCCTCCGAGTGCATGTTACGGATGCGGCCAGTGGCACTGGTACAATGACTGTCCATATAAAAATAAAGCTTGCAGAAATTGCAAGAAAGTAGGACATAAGATGTCCAAGTGTAGAAAATTAAGCAGAAGTCGAGTAAAAGTTATTAAGTCAGATGAAGATCAAGACCTGAATATTCGAAAATCGTTAAAATGCAACTGGATTCAGGATCTGACATTTCGATTATTAACACACAAACATGGAAAAATCTAGGAAAGCCAACTCTGCTAAAGTCCAACAAAATAGCCAGGACGGTAACTGGAAAAAAGATCAAATTTGAAGGTGAAATATGGGTGAATATAACCTTCAACAACAAGACTATAAAAATGAAAATTTTTGTAATGAAAAACACGAACAACCTGTTTGGGACTGACGCAATCACTAAGTTCAATCTATGGGACGTGCCCATTAGTTCTTTTTGTAACAACATTAGTGAAAGCAAAGACAACATAAAAAATTTACAAACAGAATTGAAAATAGCATTCCCCGAAGTTTTCGCTGAAGGACTTGGACGTTGCACGGAAGCATCAGCAAAAATACAGCTGAAGAAAAATATTCAACCAATTTTAAAAAAAGCGTAGCATCCCTTTTGCCGCATTAGAAAAAATTGACCAAGAACTCGAAAGACTAACGAGAATTGGTGTGATCTCGAAAACGGAATACAGTGACTGGGCAGCTCCGATGTCCACGTAAAGAAGAAGTCGGGCGAAATTCGCGTCTGCGCCGATTTTTCAACCGGGTTAAACGACGCAATAGAAGAGTTTCACTACCCACTACCAAGTCCCGAAGAAGTGTTCGCAAAGTTAAATGGTGGAAAAATCTTTTCGAAAATAGACCTTAGCGAGGCATACTTGCAAGTACCCATGGATAACGAAAGCGCAAAGTTGTTATGCATTAACACGCATAAAGGCTTGTTCAGATACGAACGTTTACCGTTCGGGGTGAAGACAGCACCCGCAATATTCCAGAAAATAATGGATACTATGTTATCCGGGTTAGACTACACGATAGCATATCTCAACGATATACTCGTGAAAAGTGAATCGGTGGATGAACACAAACACCATTTACGCAAAGTTTTCGAAAGGATAAGAAGCTATGGGTTTAAAGTGAAAGAAAACAAATGCGATTTTCTCCTGGAGGAGATCAAGTATCTGGGACATATAGTAAATAAAGAAGGGAAAAGGCCAGATAAAAATCGAGCATCAGCAATAAAAGATATGCCTGAGCCAAAGGATATTAAATCCCTACAAAGTTTTTTTAGGCTTCGTGTCATATTACCATGATTTTATCCCAGACCTCCACATTCTACGAGCTCCCCTTAACGGTCTACTAAAAAAAGAAAAACTTTGGATATGGACAAAAGAATGCGAGCAAGCATTTAAGGATATAAAAGAAAAATTGACATCAGATTTATTTCTGGTACATTTTGATCCAAAAGAAGATATCATCGTGGCGAGCGATGCCAGTACACACGGCGTAGGTGCGTGCATATTGCACAAGTGGAAGGATGGTAAAGTTCGACCGATCGCTCATGCAAGCAGATCGCTACGACCTGCTGAGCGAAACTATTCACAAATCGAAAAAGAGGCATTGGCGATTATCTTCGCTGTAACAAAGTTCCATAGATACATACATGGACGGTATTTTACGCTGCAGACAGACCACAAGCCTCTGGTAACGATATTCGGTTCGAAGAAGGGTCTTCCAACATACACCGCAAATAGATTGCTTAGGTGGGGAACAATTTTGCTAAATTATAACTTTAAAATACAATATTTGTCCACCCACAAAATTGGTCACGCAGACGGTCTATCAAGACTCATTCCGAAAGCAACAGAACCATTAGAGGATACGGTAATCGCATCCCTCAGAGCAGAGGACGAGGTTGAAGAAAATTTGGCGAACACAATTCGAGAATTACCAGTATCGCTTAAGGACATCAAAAAAGAGGCAGAAAAGGACAAATATATTATGGAAATAAAAGACAAGCTAGCTAAAAAAGACGAAAAAATTCAAGAGACATTCTCTCTGTGTGATAATGTGTTAATATACAGTGAAAGGGTAGTAATCCCTAGTACACTCCAAAAAAGAATATTGAAAGATTTTCATGCTGGTCACCCGGGCATAAATAGAATGAAGAGCCTCATGAGAGCATACGTCTACTGGCCAGGTATGGACAACGACATCGCGTCTATGGTCGGCAGATGTAAAGGCTGCATTTTGGCATCAAAATCACCACAAATTCTACAGAAGCCATGGCCAAAAACCGACAGGCCATGGTCAAGGATTCATATTGATTTTGCGGGTCCAATTGACGGGTGGCATTATTTGGTCGTAGTTGACAGCTTTAGTAAATGGCCCGAAGTTTTCCAAATGAAGAGGCCAACATCACAAAATACGATAAATAAATTGCATGAATTATTTGCAAGGTTTGAAGTGGTAGATACTGTGGTTAGTGACAACGGTACTCAATTCACGAGCAAAGAATTCGCAGAATTCTGCCAGAATTTTCAAGTGGATCACGTGAGGATTCCTCCGTATCACCCACGCAGCAACGGACTAGCCGAAAGGTTTGTCAATACGCTAAAAAAAAACTCTGAGAAAAGCAACGGGTACCCCAACTAGAAAGGCGTTATATACCGCATTACTCTGAATAAATCTACCCCATCAAGCCTATCACCTGCGGAGCTAATGTTTGCAAGGAAGATCAGATCTGCATTTGATAAATTGATACCTAAAAATAAGATACACACACCAGTCGCAATGGTTCCTAAGCGAATATTCCACACAAATGAAAAAGTTTTTTTCAAGAATTATAAAAATAATACGACATCGTGGGAACCAGGAGTCATACAAAAGCGGATTGGGAATATGGTGTACATTGTAAAAGGGAAAAAAAAATTACCCATAAAAGGCACATCAACCAGCTAAAGAAAATGAGTACTGAAGAATCGGAAGAAATTCCGCAAGTAGAAGACGAATTATACGAATTATATGACACTTTTGATTTACAAGTACCACAGACAGAGCAAAAACAAAAAACAGCGCAGATCTGGTAGAAAGCGAAAAGCGACGCAACAATTTATGATGGACCCGAAAAGGTTAAAAAATATTGAAAAAAAAATTTTTTTTCTTCTCAATGAAAAAAAAAATTAAAGGGGGTTGTTGGGGCCACCCACCTTCTCATCAGAATGGACTGATAACCGCGTTCCTCTCTCTACTACTAATAGGACAAGTTCTATAGAGTTCTAGGGAAGATCAGGTGACCATCACACTTCCGTCTCTCTACCGGAAGATACAGTTGGACTTTATACATTTTTTCTGATTGTTACTATTACTAACCTGCGTTCGTTTGACTACTAATCTCTGATTGTAAATACCTCTTCAGATATACCAGTCATTAGTATCAATTGACGACTAGATGGATTGACTGATATGTACACGGGGTTTGAAACGTTGCCATGCCCGAATCAAATGATTTTTATCTATTTTGGACATTGGGTTAGTTATGGCGGACTTTATAGATCTTATAGTGTTATGGGGGACTTGATTGACTTCCCTCTCAACTACGCACCATACGTAGCAAAATAATGGATTCAGGTGTGGAAGGCAAGGGGCCGTATGTTTGAGATGACGCGATCGTGGTGATCTCTCTCGTTGCTCATGACTCCCAGGACCATGACTGTTGGATCGTTCTGACGGTATCTGCATAACCATATATCATTCCGTCAGCTGATCTTTTGATCTTCATCAAAGCTTTTCTTCTTAGAGAAAGACTAAGGCATTGAGGCTCTTGATGTTTCAATTTACTTAACAAGCGCTTTGCGCAAATCAGACTGTTATCATTGCAGACAGACATGAATTGGCCTCTCCGCATCACATATGACTTGTATCGAAGGTCCTTACAGCTCTTTGTAAACGTTAACAACAAACAGCCGTGCAATATTCAGGAAATGAGCAATCTCTAAGTCACTATGCTCTGCGTTTAAGACAATGGTTACAGTGTCCCCTTTCATTCGTGAGGTTCACTTGATGCATGTCATCATTTATTTGAATTGAAATGATAATCAGAACAAGTTAAAGAACTGAGTAGCCCCGTATTTCATTTATAATATAAAACTATTTTATTGATTTCAAAACTATATTACCGTTGTGGAATTTCCGGGGTTCAGAAAACGTCACTCGGTTTCTATGTAAGGAATTTTGCTGATGCCACGATTTTCTCAGCCTAGCAACAAGCAATCACCTTCAACATTTTCGGCGGTATACCTACGTGACTCATCCTGGCGGCCTGGGGATTAACGAATCTCTCTACCAGTCAACACCCAGTCCTTCTGGAAATACCTAGGTTAAGGATAAAACCACCACAAGCCAATCATTTTCTTTAAAGATGTCATCATGAAAACTCTGTGAGGTCAATTTAAGGAGTACAAAAAAATTCACGAGAGGGTCGAATATTACTGCCTTCACAGTATTTTGTCACTCTTGGCCAAAATTCCAATTCCAGATTCAAACCCAACATTATCAGTGATTCCAGAGACAACAAATTCACAGCGTCATCCTATTAAACCTCAGGACTCAAGAAACCCAAATACAAATACAACAGCAATACAGGAAGACCCCTTTCGAAGTGAAGTATTGTTTTTCTTACTATCCCATTTTCTATCTTTGGAACTTTTCAGGTATTTACCTAATGTATTTCTTTGCATGTATTCAGAAGTTACCCGATTTTTTATTCCACGTGGTAATAGTGTTCTTCTTTGAAAGTGTGTTCCTGCCCCTCAATGTTAATTCAATTTATTTTGTATTATTTTTTTTGATTTTTTCCATGAATGTGGTTTTTTTATTTCATCAAACTTGTTATTGGCCTAAAATTTCATATTTTTGGCACACAATGCACTAACATTGTGTATGTCCAGAATAACCTGTTAAAGTGGGTTTTTTTTCTGCAATAAACTTTTTATAATTTTCCACCCGTAGCTACTGTGTTGTGTGCCACTAGAGTTGTTACTCTCCTGTTTTTCCCACAATTATTTCTGTGATTTTTTTTTATACCGACTTGTCTAAGGTCGAAACAATTTTTATTATGACCTCATCTAATCTTGCTGCTTTTTTCCTGTTCAATGTGTTTAGTATCTATCTTACTTCAGACTTTAATATTTTCCATCCATTTTACATCGAGTTAGTCTTGCAGCATACTTATTATAAAACCCAGGTTGTGTGTGTGTGTGTGTGTTGTATATTGGCCCAAACATTTTTCAACCGATTTTTGGACTACGTAAAAACCTTTGCGGTGGTTCTGACAGCGCCCAAAATTGAAAAAACACAATTGTTTTTGCATGAAAACATTGAGGTATGTCCAGAATAACCTGTTAAAGTGGCAAGAATTTTTCGAGTTATGCTGTATTATAAAGCCCAGGTTGTTTGTTTGTGTGTGTGTGTGTGTGTGTGTGTGTGTGTTCGTTTTATGGAATCGGATTTTACATTTTTTCAACTGATTTCAACAAAACTTCACTTTTTGGGCGCAGGTAGTGTTTCTTATTGTCTTGCACACTTTTTTCTTTATTTTTACATTCAGAATGCTTTAAAAATTCCATTTACAAGACAATTGTTTATAATAAAATTCTATTCAATCGGTAGACTCATAACGATTGAAAACACTATTTTTGTTTGAGTTTGACCAATTCGTAAAAAAAAAAAAAAAAATAATTAAGACATGCGTGTCCGTCAACCTTAAACAATAATCTTTGTCAATTTTATTTTTCAGTCTTTATGATGGTCGATACTTGATCTATCTCTTACTGTTACATCCCCGGACAACGCCGGTCTCTACTGCTAGTATGTTATAAATGTAATGTGTATAAATGTTTGTCATTCCTTTTCCTTTCAGCCATTCGATTCTGTCCATGAAATACAGTGTTATTATATTATGGATATAATAATGCCCATAATGGGGGACAATACAAAATGGGAGAATAAATCTTTCTTCCAAACTCTTCAAATAATATTTACTGAAATGTTTCCTTTTGACTTATTTTTATTTTTTTGAATTTAAATTATTCTTTTTTTGTTTCAGATGAAAAAATAATAAATAAAATAAAATAATTCTAAAAAATAATAGCCTCTGTGAACTCTGTATTTGTCCAGTTGGAAAATTAAGTGCATTTGCTGCCTTATATTGATCATGATGATGATATGAAAAGAAAAAGTGATAAAGTGTAGTGTTCTCTTTGGAAAGTTATTAATTATCCCTAAGGAGCAATTTGCATATTTTCTAAGTTGCCATGATTCTTTAAAAATAGAGGCAAATATTCTTATAGTTCGTAGAGGGTGCAAAGAAGTCCCTCAAACAAATAATAAAAAGAAAATGCACTACAAATAAAGTAAAATAAACTTTTGTTTATTTTTGTAAAGAATTATTTTTTTTTCTTGTACAAAAATGAAATTGTCCGTGGAAAAAGCTGCGGAAGAAAAGAGAAAGAAAGGAACTGGGAATGTGAGAGAAACTAGGACTATGTGTAGCGAGCGAGAGATGAGAAAGAGAGGGTGAAAGAATGTTCACTGATACGTGATATTTTTTGCCTGTTGTGTGAACTGTTGAATTCTATGTGTGTGTCTGTGCTCGAAACTGTCCGTGTGTCCTTTGATGTCAGCTTGTCGCTGTTCTCTCCGTTCTGATGAGAGTTTCTACCTTCCTTATATAAGAATGATGAGGCCCGGGGAGATTAAGAAATAGGTTTCTTATGTCGAGCCCTGATTGGTCAATAAATCATATTTTTGACCACGTGGTATCTTTTCACTACGTCCGAACTTTTGGGTGCGCCGTCCTTGTTTTTGACCCCACAGGGCATGGTAAGGCGTGAATTCCCGCGCAATTGTATTTTTGATACACGTGGTGTGAATTAATTTTTATTGTGTGTATGTGTGTGGAAAATAAAATAAGAAACTGCACAATACTCCCCGCCCCAGATTGGAAAATATATAGAAAGATACATATGTTTTTCAATATGTGATATATTCTTTAAAATGTTTCGGCCAGTGGACTTTTCTGCCGGTTTTCGTTGTAGGTGTGATGTCAGTATTTTGTTTTTTTAGCTTCCTCATTTTCTGTGTGGATATGTGTTTGTGGAGGTATTGTATGAGGTTGTTCGTCGATGTACACTGGTTTGATGTGTTCAATAGCGATATTATCTTTCTTTTCTTTTCTCATAACAGTAAAATATTTTTCATGCCTGTCCAGAACTTGATATGGTCCTGAATAATTTGGACAGAGTGGTTTTTTAACTGCGTCATTTCTGATAAATATATATTTGCAGGTGTGAAGATCGTTTGGTATGTAAGTTTGTTTTCTGTTTTCCTGGTTGGTGCAAAGTTGAGAAGAGACATTCTATGTTTTAATTCTGTTACAAACGTTGTTGTAGGTGAAATGTCTGTCTTTGTGATTAAAATACTGTCCAGGTAATGTTAATGCTGATCCGAAAACTACCTCTGCAGGTGTGCTTTGCAAATCTTCTTTCACTGTGTTTCTTATCGCTAAAAGAATTAGCGGTAAATTGTCTGTCCAGTCCGCATTACTTAAATTCATAGCTAGAGAAGCTTTTTTAACTATTCAGGAATCTTTCAACCATCCCATTTGCACAAGGGTGATAGGCGGTTGTTTTGATGTGATTCGTTCCAACAATTGGGTAAATTCGGCAAAAGTGTTGATTGGAATTAGAACCTCTATCTGTTGTTACTACTGAAGGTACTCCAAAAATTGCTATCCAGTCCTGCAGTATAACTCTGGCTACTGTTGCAGCTGAAGTGTCTTTGACTGCTATGGCTGTAGGCCATCTGCTAAATCTGTCAACTATAGTAAGAATATGTGTATGTCCTTTTGAGGTGGGTAAAGGTCCTACTAAGTCGACATGAATGTTGGTGAATCTAGCATCAGGTATGCTAAAAGTGCCAAGTGGTGATTTCGTGTGTCTGTGGATTTTGTTCTTTTGGCAAGATATACAAGTTTTAGTCCAATTGCGAATGTCCGTGTTCATATTGGGCCAAACAAAGCGTTCTGCTATTAATTTTACAGTGGCTCTTTTTCCTGGATGAGATAAATTGTGAAAATGTTGAAAAACTAGTCGTCTGATGTTCGGTGGTATATATGGACGCGGGTGTGTTTGTGATACATCACAATAAAATTTTGTTGTACCAAATGGTATCGGCATTTCTTTCAGTTGTAAGGATGTTTTTTGTTGTACAACTGGAAGTGTTTCATCTGTTTTCTGTTTAAAAGCGATCAATTCCATACTTAAAGAACTGGAATTTAAAGAGGCTATTGTAGATCTAGATAATGCGTCTGCTATAATGTTCTCTTGTCCCTTAATATATCGGATGTCTGTGGAGAACTGGGCGATATTTTCTCGTGGACCATATTTATCTACATGTGTATGTAGTGCATATGTTAATGGTTTGTGATCTGTATAAATGCAAAAATTTCTTCCTTCCAGCAAATGTTTAATTGCAAGGTAAATTGCTAGAAGCTCCCTTGAAAAGGTGCTGTATTTCGTCTGTGTCTTGCTTAGCTTAGCAGAAAAAAATGATATAGGCGTCATTGTGTTGTTAGCAATTTGGTGTATGACTGCTCCTACAGCTATTTCAGATGCATCTGTTGTAAGCGTGAGTTTTGTGTCCTCACTGTCCGTTACGTAGTTTAGTTTTGTAAAGTTGGCCAAAGCAGTTTTAGCTTGTTTGAAGGCTTCTAGGCTAGGCCCTTCTAACTTTAACTGTTGGTTCTTTGTTTTGTTTTGTAACAAATCTGTTAACGGTGCAAGTAATGTAGAACAGTTAGGTAAAAATCGTCTGTAATAGTTAATCACGCCTATGAATCTGCGTACTTGTCTGACTGATGTTGGTTGTGGGAAATTTGAAATTGCACTTACTTTCTCGGGTAGTGGAGATATTCCGTCCTTGTCAATTAAGTGTCCGAGGAAATTAACCTTTGGTTGGCTGAAAATGCATTTCTCTGTATTTATTTTCAGACCGTAATGTGATATTCTTTCAAATGTTTGCACTAAGTGCTGTCTGTGCTCGTCGAGGTTTCTGCTGGCGATTAAAACGTCATCCACATATGCAAATATAAATGGCAGACCTCTAAAACTTCGTCTATTAACCTCTGGAAGGTTTGACAGGCGTTCCTAAGCCCGAAAGGCATCCTTACGAACTCGTAAAGGCCAAATGGTGTGGTCAGTGCAGTTTTATGAATGTCCTCTTCTGCCACTGGAACTTGGTAGTACGCCTTTACAAGATCCAATTTGGAAAATATGGTGGCGCCTTGCAGACCGATGACGAAATCGTGGATATGGAATAGAGTATCTATCCGGGACCGTTTTAGCATTTAATCTTCTAAAATCGCCACAAGGACGCCATGTTGAAGCGTCGGACTTTTGCACCATGTGTAGCGGTGAAGACCAAGCACTTTTCGAGGGTCGGATGATCCCTTGCTGTAATAAATGTTGAAACTCGTTTTCGCAATCTTATACTTGTCCGGTTTCAATCGTCTGGGGGGTGGCATAGACAGGTTGTCCAGTTGTCTTGATGTGGTGCTTGGCATTATGTTTTATGGTGTCTGTGTTTTTAAATGGCTGGGAGAGTTGTGGATATTTTTTAGTAGCTGACGGATGTACTGGTCCTCGGTAAGGCAGAACTGATTCCAGTAGACTGGTATTTCGAGGTGAGTCCTCTTACTGAAATCTTGGTTTGATTATCCACCAGTGTGCGATTAGTCATGTCGACAGACAGGTTGAATCTGGCTAAAAATCTGCCCCCAATATAGGCGTTGTTACACTGGCTATGGTAAAATTCAGAAAAAATTCCGTCGCATGCCGAGATTGATATTGAGCGATTTCTCTCCGTAAGTTGGTATTTTGGTACCGTTAGCTGCTTGAAGATGATAAGACTGTGGCATAGTCTCCTGATTTTGTGTTGGTGGTATCACTCTTATTTCAGCTCCGGTGTCTATTAAAAAGTTATATCCATTAATTTTGTCGCGGATATAAAACAGACGACCTTTTGTTAAAAATCCAGCAAAAGCCGTCGTCTCTACTGGCTGAAATTTCCGTTTCCCGCATTCGCGTTGTTGAAAGAACAAGGATGTGTACAACGTCTCGCCTCAGGACCAAACCTTTTGTGGTAGTAACAAATTTCATCTTTTCGATTGCGGTTGTCAGTCCGGCCTCTGCTGAAACTTCGCTTTCTGTAGCCTGGACATTTATCGCGGCGGTACTGTCGGTCTTTTTGCAGTAAGCCTTGTAATTGTATAGACAACCTTTCTACAGTAGACTTGAGGTCGTTAAATTCCCTGTCTCTTTGTTGGGCTGGTTGTGGTTGGATAGAGTTTACCCTGCGGCTTCGAAAAACTTTCATGGATCCGATCTGCAATGTCCGCGAGTTTTTCTGTCTGCGTTTCCTCCGTCATGGGTGCGAGGATTTGTGTTGTTGTAGTGGGTAACTTGTCCAGCCATAAGCTCCGCATAATGTTTTCGGGCATTTTGTTGTCACCCAGTAAGGTTCGCATGTGCCTCAATAACTGCGATGGGGTGCGGTCTCCTAATTCAACCTGAGTGAAAAGGTTGCGTAGCATGGCTTCGTTCGAGGCACCGGTCCGTTTTAAAATTGCTTCCTTGAGTCTATCGTAAAATTGCTTCCTTGAGTCTATCGTCATCCGGGACATTTTCCAGTAAATCCATTACTTCCTCGACGATGTCTGCTGGCAGTTTTTCCACTAAGTAACAATACCGGGTTCTCTGGGAGGTGATTCGCTTCGCATCAAATAATGCCTGGATTTGAACGAACCAGGACTTAGTGTTAGTCGTGTTGAAAGCCGGGATATTCAACGATAGTGTGGCGAGAGGGTTTTCGAAGATTGTGATTCAATGTGTCCTTCCTCTTCGTTTTGTTTTGTTTTTTTAAATGTAGTGTCTCACGTCGGTCACCAGTTTGTAGAGGTGCAAAAGAAGTCCCTCAAACAAATAATAAAAAAGAAAATGCACTACAAATAAAGTAAAATAAACTTTTGTTTATTTTTTTGTAAAGAATTATTTTTTCTTGTACAAAAATGAAATTGTCCGTAAAGCTGCGGAAGAAAAAGAGAAAGAAAGGAACTGGGAATGTGAGAGGAAAGGTAGGACTATGTGTAGCGAGCGAAATGAGAGAAAAAGCCTGTTGTGTGAACTGTTGAATTCTCTGTGTGTGTGCTCGAAACTGTCCGTGTCGCTTTGATGTCAGCTTGTCGCTGTTCTCTCCGTTCTGATGAGAGTTTCTACCTTCCTTATATAAGAATGATGAGGCTCCGGGGAGATTAAGAAATGGGTTTCTTTATGTCGAGCCCTGATTGGTCAATAAATCATATTTTTGACCACGTGGTATGCTTTTCACTACGTCCGAACTTTTGGGTGCGCCGTCCTTGTTTTTGACCCCACAGGGCATGGTAAGGAGGAATTCCCGCAATTGTATTTTTTTGATACACGTGTGAATTAATTTTATTGTGTGTATGTGTGTGGAAAATAAAATAAGAAACAGCAAGTTTAACTTGAAAGAAATCTGTGTAGAGTTTTTTTCAAGGAAAGCAAGAATAAATATAATAGGAGATGCATGGACATTACTTTTTTATGATAAAATGAATGTTGGTGAGTGAATGGTGAGTTTTATAAAAAGAAGAGAATTTGAAAGCAGGGAATTATCTAAACGATTAAGTATATTTGTTAGATTCAATTAAAAAAACTAATCAAAAATATCATTTCCATTCATAAGAGAAAATGGAAATCTATGTGTGATTGAAAAAGAGAAAATAAGTTATCAAATATTAATAGCTTATTCTCTGTTGACAATATTTAAATATTGTTGGATTTAAAATTGCTATTTCTGCATTTTAAAGTAGAAAAATGTTCATTTTAAATAGTGTGCTTAAACCTACATTATTTTGAATTTTGATATTCTACATAAATATGTATTTTTTATAAAATTTTACAAATAAACATACTGAATGTTTTGTAAGAAAGCAGATCATTTTTCTTTTTCATATCTAAACAATAAATTTGTAGTTAAATCTTCCATAAAAAACATACATTCCTTCCCTGCTTCAGTGCCAAAAAAAAAAAAAAACATACATTGTGAAACACAATAAATTGTTATAAAAAGGATTTGGGGTAAATTTGCTATTTAGGCCCCATGCTAAATATCTATTAAAATTTTCCCAAATCATCTAATTAAATTTTGATAAAACCTAGTGTTTTGGAGTTATCGACAATAAAAGTTTGGACTCAGTCATGTTCAGTCATTGGCCATTACTGGCCTTGTTTAACTACATTCACATTTTGCGCATGAAAAACGGCCTTTTTACTTCTCTTAACTGATTATACTCATCTAAATTACTGAGCACTTAAGCTGCGTCAGACGGCAAGTGTTTTTTGGGGTTTTTTTTTTATCGTAAACCCCTTTTTCTGTGTAGAAAAGCAATGACAACTGTTGTAAAGCTTTTATTTTAAATTAAAAATAAAACAAATAATAATGAATGCACAAACTTTGTAAAAAACATGAATATTTACAAAATAAAATTACAAAAAAAAAATGCTAGCTAAGAAAGGAAATAATAATTAGTGACCAAAGATCTTTACAAAGTTTGCACAAACTTTGTAAATAGCATGATTTTTTTATTTACAAAATAAAAAAATGCTAGGAAGGAACATTTCTTTTTATTTTGTAAATAATCATGCTCTTTTCAAAGTTCGTGCAAACTTTACACATTAATTATTGTTTTATTTTTGATTCAAAAGAAAAGCTTTATTTTATAATTTAATTTGTTTATTTTTAATTTAAAAAGAAAGATTTACTAAAAAAAAAAACAACAGTTAAAAAAAACAATACTTTTCATCACTTTCCAACGTAATTTAAGTGTGCAGTAATTGAGACAGAGTAAGATCAGTTAAAAGGCCATTAATTAAGCTTTCGTGCACAAAATGTTCCACAGTGAATTTAGTTAAACAAAGCCAGTAATGGCCAACGACTGAATGCGACTGAGTTCGAACTTTTATTGTCGATAACACCAAAATGGTAGGTTTTATCAAAATTTAATTGTTATTTCGAGTTCAGCATGTACATTTACACGGAAATATGATGATTTGGGAAGCTGTTGGGGTGAGATGGATGCTGCAGGAGTGCTGGAAGCTGCAGGAGAGCTGGATGCTGCAGGAGTGCTGGAAGCTGCAGGAGTGCTGGAAGCTGCAGGAGTGAGCTGGATACTGCAGGAGAGAGCTGGAAGCTGCAGGAGTGCTGGAAGCTGCAGGAGTGAGCTGGCATCACAGAGGGAAGGCAGTAGCGAAGAGTGAATTGAGTGGAGCCTCGAAGAGTGGTGATCGAATGACTTTCGGAAGTTAGCCCTGAAAAGTACTGTTTGAACAACTGCTGCTACTGCTGCTGGGTCCCGTCAGCTGCTGGGCTTGGTCGACTTGACTGGGCGCGTCAAAGTCGCGAATCAGGAAGGCTTCCTGCTCCCCGGGCCGGCTAAAAACCGCTGCGAAGTCTCGGGCATCTAGATATGACGGTTCATACAAGAGAAAGCGGTGACGCTAAACAAGTAAATGAATATAATTAATTTCGGGCCGTATTAATTACAGTCCAAAGTGTGTTCGGTGTTTGTTGACTGTATTTAAATTAATTTCGGTTCGAAATTAAAGGTCTTTTATTTTTGTTTAGTGGCGAAAATTGAGTTTTGTGTGTTACTGATAGTTTGAAAGGATGTCGTTGCTATTCTTAGCACACAAGGGCCGTGACCTTTCTCTACCGGACGGCATATCCGGGGTTGTTTAAGAAAAGGTGGGAGTGGTGTTTGGGCACACTGCGACAAGGCCCTCTCCCAGGATAATTGATCATTATCAATTAGAAGAAAATATATGTCTTGTACTTCTTAGGGAAGGTGACTTTCCTTCCAAGACGGGTCTGCCTAGGTGGAGTGGTGGGTGATTCTGGGATTGGCTCTGACCTCGGTTGTGATGGTTGCGATTGCGTGGTTGTTGAGGCAGGTGAGGGTTCTGGGTGTGTTGAGACGGGTTCTGCCTCCCGTGGAGATTTTTCCAGAAAGACTGGTTTGACTCTGTCGATGGAGATGGTGTCCGTCCGGCTTCCTCGATCAATGGTGAGATGCTTCTCAGAGCGTTTTAAGACTTTGAATGGACCCTGGTATGTTGGTGTTAGTGGTTTCTTTTACCGCGTCATTTCGGACAAAATGAACTCGCAGTCCTGAAGCTGTCGTGGAACGTGGATAGTTGGTGATGATTGCCTGGGTGGTGTATACTTCAGTTGGGCCATTTTATGGCGAAGTTCCTGAGTGAAAGGACTTGCAGTGGTTAGGTTGGGTATGGTGTCGTCGAAATATTGGCCGGGTAAAGAGAGCGCTGTACTGAAGACTATTTTGGCTGGAGTGCATTCTAAGTCTTCTTTGAGTGTGTTGCGGATTGACAAAAAGGATTAGGGGTAGCTCGTCTACCCAGTTGCTGGTGGGATGTTTTGTAGTTAGAGAGGCCTTTAGTGTTCGGTGGAACCTTTCCACAAGGCCGTTGGCACAGGGATGGTAGGCGGTGGTCTTGATGTGTTTGACGCCGAGCAGTTGAGTGAATTCCTGAAAGAGTGATGACTGAAACTGCGCGCCGCGGTCTGTGGTGATGATGCTGGGTACGCCAAAATTGCGATCCACTCCTGAAGGATGGTCTTTGCTACCGTGTTAGCCGAGGTATCTCTGATGGGTACTGCTACTGGCCACCTGGAGAAACGGTCAACCACTGTGAGGAGGTACTGATAATTCTGGCACATTGGGAGGGTCCCACTATGTCGATGTGGATGTGGCTGAAACGTGCGTCAGGGTTGCTGAATGTGCCTGGCGGGGATTTTTGTGCCGGTGTACCTTGCATTTCTGGCACTTAAGGCACGTTGATACCCAATTACGGATGTCAGTATTCATGTTGGGCCACGCAAAACGATCGGCAATGAGTTTGACCGTAGCGCGCTTGCTGGGATGTGACAATCCATGGAGGTGGTTGAAAATTTGCCTTCTGAGTGCCGGAGGTATGTAGGGTCTGGGGTGATCCAGTTTTGTATCGCAGTACAATATTTTGTTGCTGAAGGGTGCCGGAAATTCTTTCAGTTGCAGGGATGTGTTGGCTAGGACTTCAGGGAGGGTTGCGTCGGATTCCTGGGCCTCTGCTATCAGGTCCTGGCTGAGTGGGCTGTCTTGCACTGTGTTGACATCAAATCTGGATAGGGCATCGGCAACAGAGTTGTCTTTTCCTTTGACATAATGAATATCGGACGTGAACTGTGAGATATAGTCTAGATGTCTGATCTCGCGAGCCGTATATTTGTCCGAGTTGTTCGACAGGGAAGTTGTCAAGGGTTTGTGGTCGGTCAAAACGGTGAAATTCCGGCCTTCCAGTAGATGTCGGAAGTGTTTGATGGCGAGGTATATAGCCAAAAGTTCTTTCGAGAAGGTGCTGTATCTGGACTGGGCTGGTGATAATTTAGCCGAGAAGAATGCGATGGGTTTGCGTTGGTTGTCAACCTCCTGTTCTACCACAGCTCCAACTCCAGTGTCTGAGTCATCTGTTGTTAGATATATCTGAGTCTGGGTGTCTTCGTTAAGATGTGCTAACTTCGTAAAGTTAGCTAAAAAGTTTTTTTGCTGCTTGGAATGATTTTTCCTGGTCGCCCTCCAGGGTGATGGCTTTTTTTTTTCTCTGGAGAAGATTTGTCAGGGGGGTGAGGAGTTTTGAGCATCCGGGGATAAACCTGCGGTAAAAAATTTACCATCCCCAAGAAGCGTCGCAGTTTTTTATCGATGTGGGCATCGGGAAATCCTGTATGGCTTTTATCTTATCGGGAAGTGAGTGATTCCCTGAGCGTCTGTGTGGTGTCCGAGGAAGTCTATGTGTTGTGCACCGAATTCGCACTTGTCTGGGTTGATTCGGAGGCCGTAATGTGTTGACGGCGGAACACTTCCTCCAGGTGTTGTTTGTGGAGATCAGCGTCTCTGCTAGCCACTAGGATGTCATCAATGTATGCGTAGACGTATGGTAGTCCACGCAGAACTTCGTCCATCAGCCTCTGGAACGTCTGGGCTGCGTTGCGCAGTCCGAAGGGCATTTTTAGGAATTCAAACAGTCCAAAAGGGGCTGTGACTGCTGTCTTTGGGATGTCCTCCGGAGCGACTGGAACTTGGTAGTAGGCTTTGGTCAGGTCAATTTTTGAGAAAATGCGGACCCCCTGTAAACCTGAGGCAAAGTCGTGGATATGCGGAACAGGATACCGGTCGGGCACTGTGGACGCATTGAGTTTCCGGTAATCCACGCAGATCCTGAAATCCCCGTCGGATTTGGGTACCAGATGCAGTGATGAGGCATATGGGCTGTCTGAGGGTCGGATGATATTGTCGGCCAGCAACTCCTCAAACGCTTTCTTGGCATATGCTAATTTGTGTGGAGGGAGTCGTCGTGGCCGTGAATATGCTGGTTGTCCGGTGGTCTTTATATGGTGTTGGGTCTGATGGTCGCCTGCATCAGTTGGTTTGATGGGTTGCGTGAGGTGCTTGTACCGGCGCAGGATTTCTACGTAGTGGGGGTCGTGCTGTGTTGCCACGCTGATCCTAGTTGTGTTGAAGCTCGATGGGATCCCTGTGATCTTGATGGTTGTCATGTTGTCGGACAGGGTCCTCGTCTTCATATGGACAGCCAGGTTGTAATGTGCCAAGAAGTCGGCACCGAGCAAGGGTATCCTGACGTCAGCTACGGTGAATGACCACTTGAAGTCGCGCCTGAGGTTGATGTTCAAGGTAAGTTCCTTGTTCCCATAGGTTTCTATGGGGGAGCCGTTTGCCGCTCGAAGTTGGAATGGGGTGGGTTTCAAGGCGGATCTGTTGGTGGGTGGTATTACGCTGATGGCTGCGCCAGTGTCAACCAGGAATTTGAGGCCATTGTTACGGTCACACACGTAGAAGAGACGACTGTGTGAGCGAGTACCGACAGGGATCGTCGTCGCTGCCTGTCGGTCTATTCGTTTCCATGGGGCCTTATTGCGTCTGCAGGGAGGGTGGCACTTGCGGGCTCGGTCACCGAAGGTTTGTGGTACCAACATTCGTCCACACTGTTTCTCCGTCCTGGACTTGAGCTGCGGGTACGGCTTCGATTTCGCGTGCGTGGTGCTGGGCTTCGCTGCCTCCGGCATAGGGAGAGTTTCAGGTCTCTCAACTCTGCGCGTAGCTGGGTCATCTCCTCTTCGAGGCGTTGTGTGTGGTTTCCGTGGCTCTCAACCTGGTGAACTTTTTGGTGAGCTTGGGAATATATTTTGTCGGCTGAGTCGGCCACAACGTCAAGGGGCGTCTCTACTGGTACCAGGGCTAGAACTTGTGTTATATTCGGTGGTAACCGATCCATCCATAGCCCTCGGAGGATGGGTTCTGCCATGGTGTTGTTCCCGAGGCGGCTCTTCATCAGGCGGAGGAGCTGGGATGGTGTCCTATCGCCGAGAGACACATTAGAGAATAAGTCTCTGATGAGGTCTTCGTCCGAACGTCCAGTTCGTTTCAGGATGGCTTCTTTGAGGCAGGTGTATGGGAGTTGGTCGGAGTATTGAGAAGGATGTCTTCCACTTCTTCAACGATTGATGCTGGTAAGGCTTGTACCATGGAGGCGTATTTAGTGTCCTGTCGTGTGACCTTTCGTGCTGAAAATATCGCCTCAAGTTGAATAAACCAACTTCTGGTGTTGATCGAGTTGTATGGCGGTAGTTGTATCAGGGCGGCTGATGTGTTGATTTCTGTTTCGGTGTGTTCCGCTATCTTCTCTGCTAGCCGTTTGCCTGTGTCCATAAATCACGTCGGCGTCACCACTTGTTGCAGCGGGCCGAGAGGTGTGAGTGCCAATCGACCGTACAACTAAAACAGGGGACACAAAGGCAAGGAGTTGGCAATAGCAAAGAAGGATGACAAACGCAGATGGTCCGTTGTAGACGATGGAAATCGTGTCTTTATTTGCGAACGGTGGATGGTAAGACGACAGAGGTCGTTTGTTCGGGAACGGTGTCCGGACGATAACGGGCGCTGGACGTCAGTGGGCGCTGGATTAGGTCGTCAGCGGGTGCTGGAATAGGTAGCGGGACGTCAGTAGAGCGCCGCAGGGGTGAGCTGGAGGCCGCTGGAAGCTGTTGGGGTGAGCTGGATGCTGCAGGAGTGCTGGAAGCTGCAGGAGCTGAGCTGGAAGCTGCAGGAGAGAGCTGGAAGCTGCAGGAGTGCTGGAGGCTGCAGGAGTGAGCTGGCGTCACAGAGCTGGAAGGCAGTAGCGAAGAGTGAAGGAGGAGCCTCGAAGAGTGGTGATCGAATGACTTTCGGAAGTTAGCCCTGAAAAGGACTGTTTGAACAACTGCTGCTACTGCTGCTGGGTCCCGTCAGCTGCTGGGCTTGGTCGACTTGACTGGGCGCGTCAAAGTCGCGAATCAGGAGGCTTCCTGGCTCCCCGGGCCACGAGGCGGTATTTAGGTCGTTTTCGTGGGATTCCACGGGGTCAAGACGTGACACAAGGTCGTTTTTCGTGGGAAAACCCAAGCGTTTCTAAAAAGGGTCAGGGTCAAAGACTGGTCAAGATTGGTCATAACATGTACAAGCTGGTCTAAGCGTAGTCAAGTTCTGGTCTTGGCTTGTCTTAGCAGGTCCTGATATGGTCCAAACTAGACTTTGCCATGGTCGCAACCCAGCCCGAAAGGCCGGGCTGTTTTCCCTGGCCGGCGGTATTTACTTAACTCCCCACGGGGTCAAGATGTGACACAAGGTCGTTTTTCGTGGGAAAACCCGAGCGTTTCTGCATAGGGTCACTGGTCAAAGATCGGTCATAACATGTCCAAGCTGGTCAAAGCTTAGTCAATGCTTTGGTCATAACATGTCCAAGCTGGTCAAAGCTTAGTCAAGTTCTGGCCCAAGTTAGTCTTAGCTTGTCTTAGCAGGTCCTGATATGGTCCAAACTAGACTTTGCCATGGTCGCAACCCAGCCCAATGGCCGGGCTGATTCCCTGGCCGGCTAAAAACCGCTGCGAAGTCTCGGACATCTAGATATGACGGTTCATACAAGAGAAAGCGGTGACGCTAAACTGAATTAAAGTAAATGAATATAATTAATTTCGGGCCGTATTAATTACAGTCAAAAGTGTGTTCAGTGTTTGTTGACTGTATTTAAATTAATTTCGGTTCGAAATTAAAGGTCTTTTATTTTTGTTTAGTGGCGAAAATTGAGTTTTGTGTGTTTCTGACAGTTTGAAAGGATGTCGTTGCTATTTTTAGCACACAAGGGCCGTGACCTTTCTCTACCGGACGGCATATCCGGGGTTGTTTAAGAAAAGGTGGGAGTGGTGTTTGGGCACACTGCGACAAAAGTATCAAATGATAATTAAAATCATTTGCAAAACAAACCTGCTTCCTCTTAATGTTAGTTGTCTCTTAAGGTACCTGTTTATATCATTTGCATTGGTAAATACCAAGTATTGTATGTACATTTTTAAAATGTGGTGATTCTCATTTTAAGTAAATAAAAAAGACATTTTACTAAATAAAGAAAAGAATGATACATAAAATTTAATGAACAGGAAAATGGAAGCAGATTAACAGAAGTGAAATACTTTGGGGGCTGCAGAAACTTTAGAAAAATTCTCTTATTGTTGTGTTCCCATATGAATTAACTGCCTCACTGGATCCTGACTTCTTTATTGTATAAAGGTACAAGTATGTTCAAAAGAAGGTGTCATCTTTCCCTTCCCATGGGTAACAGCCAGGTGGAATTAATTCATCAGAAGCTATTCCCTTCATTTTACTCAATTTCCAGGTGTTCAAAATTAAATAATAAATAATTTCTGTATACATCTTCAGGGTTTCTGGTTGAATTGCCATCAGATTCTACTTTCATCTATTCAAGAAGTAGAAGAAGAGTATAACAAAAAGAGTAACTTGAAATACTTTGAAGAAATTTTTTTTTCTGATTTTTTTTCCAGGATGTTTTTTTAGCGAAGAAATATTTTCCAAACCTTTTTCAGAAGTACAATTTTCCTAAAATTGGATTCTGTTTTTATTGGTTTTAGTTTCAAACTTAATCTGAAATGTAAATTTTAGATTAAGTTTGAAGCTAAAAATACATTCATATATGAATGTATACTGAAGGTATATATGAATGTATTAATATATACTGAATGTATATATGAATGTATTAATATATACTGAATGTATATATGAATGTATTAATATATACTGAATGTATATATGAATGTATTAATATATACTGAATGTATATATGAATGTATTAATATATACTGAATGTATATATGAATGTATTAATATATACTGAATGTATATATGAATGTATTAATATATACATTCGGTATATATTAATACATTCATGTATGCATTTATATTTAGTAATATCTGAATTTATTAACAATCAAAATTATTTTTGTGTTCCTTCATTCATAAGACTAATCATATAATTTTATACATATAATTTTATACAAAATTTAGACTATAATTTTTGTCTGACTTTCTGGGATGAGCAATTATTATTATTTACACTATATATATTTCTCAGCTGTAACCTACAGGAAATTCTGAAGTGAACCCTTTATTTAATCTACAGGGGTTAGACAGTTCTTGTTCCACTACTCATGTCTAGGAATACCCCATCTAGTTTTTATATTTATAAATACAATATGAGAGCTGCTAATAAAGAAAGAAAGAAAGACAAATGACAATAAGTCTTCAACTGCAGCAACAGTAATCAAAACATGGGCAGTAGTCAAAACCTGACAGCCAGCAGCAGCAATAGCAGCAGCAGCAGCAGCAGTGGCAATAGCAGTGCCAGCCTAATCAGAAGTGAAGGTTAGGTTTAATGTTTACTCCAGCAATTGTCCCAAAGCTAGTGGGTAAAAGCATTGGTTTGTGCATTTGGTGACATAATGGTTGTGGTTCAATCGGTTTACAGGAAGGAGTCAAACAAAGCAGTTGTTTGTTTGGCCTGGATTAAGATTAAATTTGTCCCCTCCAGCACGTGGCACAGCTTACAACAACATGGTGCTATTTCACCTTGTGAATATATCTTCCCCAGATATAAAAAGAAACTATCTCCGGCTCACAGTCTTCAATTTGGGAAAATCTAATTTCCTGTTTGCAGAATATGTCTCCATTTGGAACATAATAGATGAATGCAGTCTACTTGGATCTGGTGTCCTAAACATGGTTTCTCCAGAAACACAGAAGAATCTCCATATTATATATTAGACCCTATCTTTTCATTCTCCTTTCACTCTGCTTCTTGTGTAGATATATTTTATATTTTTCTCTGTGTGAGACACATGTAAATATTTAGACATAATTGTGTATATGACTTAGCAGCATAAAACTCTCTCTGAGAACAAAGCATGTTTATCATTCCTTTTCCTTTCAGATATTCCATTCCACCCATGAAATATGGTGTTGTTATTATATTATGGATATAATAATATCCATAATTGGAGAATAAACCTTTCTTCCAAGCTCTCCCAATTTCCTTAAAAGTGGCTAAAGAAATAATTCATGTAGCTGGAAATAGTATATTCAAAAGTCAAAACTTAACACTCAGTTTATTGAATAGAAACAACAAATTTTACATTACAAAAGTTATATCAGTTAATAGCCAATTGACACAAACTCTCTCCAAAACTTTTCTAAACAGCATCAAATGGAAGAAATATTCATTTTATTTACTGCTACATTGAATGAATAAATCTTTAGGAAAGGAACTGACAATGTGATTGGTTTGAGCAGATATGACGGTAAAAGTGATCTTCACCAAATTAGCTGAAGCTGAATGCAAATTGGGTAAAACATGTTGCACATGTGAGAGCTACTCAATAAAACAGTAAGAGTTCAAGCCATAGAGTAGAGATAAAAAATAACCCTAAAAGAAAAAAAAAACAAGATGAAGAATTGAGATAGTAAAAGAAAAAAAAGACAAGTGTTTTTGTAATGATATTGAAAGTTTTGAAGAGACACTATAGAAAGTGAAATGTCTATCACCAAAGTAACAAAAATTGTGGCAATTTCTCACTGTTTACACAGGAAGAAAACATGCTAAACTTACTGCAAACTCAAAGAACAACATAACATGAACTCTGTTATCTCTATAAGTTGTGATATAAAAAGAAAAAACAATAATGTAAATAATATTTTTAAAAACATTAATTTAAATATTATTTTAAATAATTTTTTCTTTTTTTTTAACTGTTAACCGTTCCTATTGTAACTGACAGCTGGTATCAATGAAAAAGGTCCATGCTTCAAACAGATGTTATCCTTTTATTTAGGAATTACACCAGTATGACATATGGGCATTTTCATTAAGACCAGCAGTCAGTTACAGTGAAAACCTGTTTTGCTCTTAGACCAGCAGTAAGTAAAAGAAAGAAGTATGTGCAGCTTCTTTCTTAATAGGTTCAGCCAGACTTTCACCTTCCATTCCAGAAGCAACAATTTTAGATACAACTGAACCATTGTGAGGTGAGAACTGCTGAATCAAAGTACCATCTTAAGTCATGAATGGTTCTGCTTCAGGATCAAGTTCAGATTCTTCAGGTTTAACAAATGTAACTTTTCTTTGACTGATTCTTCTTTTATGATTTCATATTCTCTGGCTGGGTCTTCTCTTGGTCCTGATGATGCAGCTTCTTCAAATTTTGCAGACTCTTGTATGGAATCTTTGGAAGCTAATTCAGTTACCACAGCTACAGTCTCAAAGACAGATGATGCTGTTGCTGCAGATTCTTTTAGCTTTACTTCTGCATTTTCAATTACTTCCTAGACTGAAGCAGACTCTAGGGTTAGTGGGGGTAATAATTGAGTAGGTAAGACAGATATTTACCACTTCAGGAACTGATCATAGTCATTAATTTTCAACTCAGTGCATACAAGGTTATGCATTCTGCTCTTCTTCCTGATACACCTTTAGTTTGTCTTGGATGATTTTCACATCCAGTTGATGTTCCAGCTGCTTTAATTGCTGATGAGTAGTATCAATAGTAGCTTGTAGCTCTACTTCTGCCATTTTGGTGGCTAGCCCTGCAGCAGCCTCAGCTTTCTTTCTTCATGATTGTTACTTCTGAGAGGTGACTGTAGTGCTGGATATATGAGGTGTGGTCCTGGAAGTTGTAGCTCTGTATATGGAGTGCATATTCTCATTATCAAATAGTATGTAAAGTATGTATTTTTTCAGACACTTCTTCACCTTCTGAGAGGCATAGTTCCATTAATCTCAGTAGATCCTACCATCACAACTGTTCATACATCAATCTTCCTACAGATTTGCTGGCTTGGTGTTACTTGTGTTGGTA